TCTGATTAAAAAATATAAAAAAAAAACTTTTTTTTTTTTTTTAAAAAAGTTAATTCTGAAACTCACTATAAATTTTTTAGATTTTTATTTTTTAGGATAAGAAATCTTAAAATCAATTTTATTTTTTTTTTTTTTTTTTTTTTTTTTTTTTTTTTTTTTGAATTCCTATTTCAATATCCTTTGAAATCTTTAATTTACATTTAACTTTTCGAAATCTTGATAAATGAGAACAAAAAAAGTGGATTAAAAAGGTAAGTTTGAAAATTATAAAAAGAATGGAATGTCAGTAAATTTGAATCTTATTGCTAGAGATGATGGTTTAAAGTCTATTTTATAAATTGACTGCTTGTGACCATATGAAGTTATTCGATATCCAATCCTTCCCATAATAACCAATAAAATTTATTGCTTGTATTAGTGATGACTTATAATAACATTTGACTATTCATGTGATAGGTTTATACTTTTTATATTTTTAGACTAAAACATGAAAATAAACAATGTATACTTGTGATAAAACAATGAATTAAAAAGCTGGAATTTTTGGTTTCTTATAATTAATTAATATTAGTATTGTATTGTTTTTTTAAAGCTAGTTATTATTGATCTCAATTAGTATGATCTCTCAACAATATTAAATGCTTCAAAATCCATAGTTACACGACTTTTGCTTGATGTCGGTTTATATTATTGTTTAAATTTTAATAATATGTTATTAAAATTAGAAAAAGAATTACTATATTTTCTATATTGGGTCTTATTTCAGATGTGATAAATGAATTAGAATTCGTTAAAGCAAAAAACAGAAAAATATTTAAGACTTATCACCTTTGAATATGTCTTTATTACAATTGGTATTCTCTTTGCAATGCTTGGAGCAATATTCAGATCAAATAAAGTTGTACCATATTTTTTATCGACAATATTGACATCTCATACTTCTCAAAACACAGCTATCAAATCAAAATTACACATTTTATTAATCGAAGGAGGAACGGATCAATAGCTAATTGCACTTAAATTATTATCAATATTACTGGACATAAAATAGGAAAGAATTTATTTTAACGCTAGTTCTAATTTATAATAGTTTGACTTTCATATGAAATTGTTTATAATATATAAAATACATCAGTTATATCGTTTTTATTTTATCACTTTTAAATACGAGTTTTTATTTATTTATTTATTTTCGTACGTACGTAAGTTATGAACAAAGACTTATGTCGGCTATTACGACACTTTTGACGTGACTGCTCATCTTTTTGACGTACAATGCGTCACCAGCTTTCTGCACCTCTACTCTGAGCATTATTTCATGCCTTTATAGTAAGTTTATTTACTCTATACTGTATATAGTATTAAAAATTTTGTTTTTACTATCTTATTGCGATTTGTTTTGATCATTAATAGAGTATTGACGAGGATATCTGTTATTTTTTATATTTAACTTTTCTGTAATTTTTTGGAGCATTTAGGCTAAAAATTGTTAAAATAAATAATTTATTAAAATTTAGATGTATTTCATAACACTTTTGTAACTGCTTACAGCTTCAATTTTTAGAGTTTTTATATTTTCAAACCTTTACATGCTTTAGTGAAAGTTCAAGAATTTATACCTTTCTCAATACGTATCTCATTAAATATCATTATTTTTGTACACTATAGCTCGGATCTTTAATTACGTTCTTCAAACTTTTCTGTATTACTTTCTACTCATTTACTACGCCTCTTTCTCTACTTAATCTTACATTCACCTTTTCCCAATCTTTATTGCATCCACTCTCATATTCAAATCTTCCATTACATCTCCTCCCAACTTTTTGTTTCACAACATGAGATTTCTTAACAATATATCAATATGTATACGCAATATATAGTTTACGGTTTTCAAATAATGTAACTATATTAAATCTTAATGCTTAGCAAATTTAGCTAATTATTTATTAATTTAAAATTTATTATAATACTAATAAAAATAAAAAATTTTTAGACATATAAAATATTTGTCGCAACTGATGTTGAAATTGACTGAAAATTTTGGAGTTCGATTTTAAAAACATAAGCCCTGCTAAAATTCATCTATAAATACCATAACTAACCCTAAACTCAAAAAAAAAAAAAAAAGAAAAAAGCAAAAAAAACACCCTAAAGAATTTTTCCAAATTTCAGCATCAGCTGCGCCAATGTTTATAAATGAATTATAATGTTATAACACGGGTTTGGATATTCATCGCCAATTAGGAGGATAACTTGTTAAAATTCCCAGAACTTGCTATAATGAGTAGGTGATACAAAATACACTTTTAAAGAAATTATAATATTATTCTTAAGAATATCTTCTATTATATCTATTATTTCGTTATCGTTCAGTAGTATATCATCAGAAAAATCTAAAAAAGTGAGTGTAGTGTTTATGCTAAGGGCCTTCACTAATGCTCTTCCTCCTTCAAAATCAAGTAAATTAAAAGAAAGCATTAAAGTTTCCAGTGTGGTATTTGTATAAAGAGTTTTCGCTAATGCTTTTATTCCCTCAGAACCAATTTGATTTTCTCCTAATTCTAAAGTAGTTAAGGTGGTATTTTTGTAAAGAGCCTCTGCTAACGCTGTAGCACCCTCAGAACCAAGTTGATTACCATAAATGGATAAAGAAGATAGAGTAGTATTCTTGTAAAGAGACTTTGCTAATGCTTTTCCTCCATCAGAATCAAGAGAAATAAAATCAAGATCTAAAGATTTTAAAGAAGTGTTTTTGCAAAGAGCTTCTATTAATTCTTTCTTATCTCCAAGTGTATTTGATGAAAGATTTAAAGAAGTCAAAGTAGTGTTTTTACGAAGAACTTCTATTATTGTTTCCAATTCTTTAGAACCGAGATCATTACAAGAAAGATTTAAGGATGTTAGTGTGGTGTTTATATAAAGAGCCTTAACTAATTCTATCGCTCCAGTTCCAATTTGATTATGTTCGATATTTAAAGTAGTTAAAGTGGTATTTTTGCACAGAGCCTTTGCTAATGCTTTTCCTCCTGCAGGACCAAGTCGATTACCAGAAATATCCAAAGAGGTTAGAGTAGTATTTTTATAAACAACCTCTGTTAATGCTTTCAGCCCCTCAGGTCCAATTTGATTAGAGCAAATACTTAAAGAAGTTAAAGCGGTGTTCTTACAAAGACCTACTGCTAATGCTTCTACACCTTCATAACCTAGTTGATTGTAACTAAGATTCAAAGAAGTCAAAGTAGTGTTTTTGCAAAGTGCCTCTGCTAATACTTTACCTCCCCTATGATCAATCTGATTAGAACCAATATTTAAAGAAGTTAAAGCAGTATTTTTACAAAGAATCTTTGCTAATGCTTTTACACTTTCAGAACCTAGTTGATTACTATAAAGATTTAAAAAATTCAGAGTAATGTTCTTGCAGAGTGCTATTGTTAAAGTTTTCAATTCCTTAAAACCAAAATTACACCCGGAAAGATCTAATTTAGTCAATGAAGTATTTTTATCAAGAATCTGAACCAATACTTGGACTGCCTCATCATTAAATCCATAATGATAAAATTTTAAAGAGATAATATGGATATTCTTATAGAGATTTTCATATATCATTTTAGTGCAAATTGATGCGTTAATTCTTAAATATTTAAGCTTTTTACTTGTTCGTAGAAACATTGAAATTAGAGAAAATCTAATGCCGCGTACGAGACCAGAAATTCTTTCAAAATAAAATCCATCATCTTTACTTCTTTCATCAGTGTACCCTTCCTCATCAAGCCAGAATTTAATTCCATCGTCAAAATACTCGCCTATAACGTCTGAACAAAAGTCAATAGATGTAGCATAACTTGAATATTCAAATAATGGCTTTGGATAGTTTGGGATAATAATATTAAAAGGAATTAATGAAGCTTGTTCTTCAGCATTCAATACTAATAGACATGTATTTAAAAATCTTGTTTTCCCGAAATATTTTGATGGCTCGCTCCATAATATTGGTACAATAATTCTACACCAGTGACGATTTACAAGAAGACATGAAAATAAAGTTCTAGGACGAGCACGGAAGTAACTAAATATTTCCAAGAGGCATTCGTTTGGTAATGATATCATTTTTTTTAAAATATTAAAAATTTTTAGTTATTAAAGTAAAGGATTATTACTCGAAATGTAGTGAAGTGGAGAATAACAAAAATTTTTATACGGACATTGTTCTAAAATAAAGTTTATATTTTTAGATTAGTGCATTTCACAACAATCACATTTTAAAACCAGGTATGACACAAATGTAACGTAACTCAAGTCAAACGATCCAACAATTTATCCTGTATTATGATAAACAAATTTAGGCCGATCTTAATATTGGCCGGAAATTGGTTTTTTGGGGGGATTTACATATAAGCCCTATAAGAAAAATGTACTGTAATTGTATGGGTTGGCTCGGCATGGCACGGATCAAACCTGGGTTTTGTACGTAAG